ATACCCAAAACTCCAGTCTAGGTAGAGCCACTCATTCTCACTCATCAACGAGCCATGTTAGAATTCTCGTCTTTGAATATCATATCTAAGAAAACTCAAAAAGTCATCACTAAACACACCTTAGTGAATCGTGATCAAATTCTATTTCTGATATACAGAATCCTCTTAAAGAGACAAGTATAGAGGGTGACAAAGTGAAAATTTTGATTTCTTAAGTCACACAAATGGTGGTATGTGGACAAGGCTGAAAAGGCTTAATCTTACTTCCCCATCTAGCTACTCTAGATTGGGGGGTAGGTCCTGGTGAGGAAGTTATAGACACCTTTCCATACTGAGTCTGGAGTGCTTCACTTAATTTTCTCTGCAATATTGGGCTTTTAAAGTTCTTCTAGGGTGTTGAATAAATATTGGTGGCAAAATAACTTGTTCAAGAGATAATTATCTCACAGTAATTAACAATGTTATATGTCAACATTATATAGGATTATGCTAACCTCAAATTTATTTAATTTATGGTATGGTTTTCTTTTTTTATACCAAAAAAGTATTGGCATTTGATGCCATTCTTATATTGAAATCCACTATAAAACAAAACGTCTATCTATTTTGAAAAATACACTTAATAATGTGTATTTTAAATTTAAATCTTAATGAATCAACTATTAGTGACTAATAAAATTCTTGACGAAAACACGTACGTAATAATGGAAGCCAAGGCCAAAACCGTGCTTTGAAAATAAATTCTGAACTATTTGGATGAAAAAGTTAAGAGTAAGCAAGGGAAAAAAAAAAGATGAAGAGTCAATAGAATTCTTATACAGGAAAAATTATATTCTTTAAAATACATAGCAATAAATAAATTTTATAGGAGGCGGAAATGAAATTTTATTGCAATATGAGAGGCGAAGTATTTTTATTGAATTTACATGAAATTTCAGTTATTAGCGGAGACAAATACTCCTATAATTAAGAAACTAGTATTTCAGGTATATGAGGTACTAAAGGATTTTAGTTAGGCTAATTTTAAAACTTCAAATTTTATCTCTCCTATATCCTTTTAATTTGTTAACTCCTAATCAGACATAAATACTTCTTCGCAAGAGAGTTCTCTTGAACAACAACAAAAGGCCGTCGAGATAAATGTCTCCAAAGTTAGTGAGTGTTGTTAGGCCTTTTGTCTCTTCTAATTTTATTGTTTTATGTAATATTTTCTTTTTCACCTTCAATGCCTCTTCTCTGATTGAAACACATTACTCACAACTTATTTTCTTAATATCTTATATGTGTGTGACGGTGTCTTACAAGTCAAAATTGTTGAATTGTATTATATATATTTATATCTTGATAAAATAAAAAAATTGAGAAAATCCATTTAAATTTTATAAGATTAAAATAATCAATTTTTTATTAAAAAATTAAGGTATCATTAAAATTTCTCCTTCTTTCCTCTCCTTCAATTAATTCCAACAAAGGATCATTAAAACCCCTTTCCTCCCTTTTCCTTCTCTACCCTCCCTCTATAGCTACCCTCCCATTTCCTCCCCTCCCCTTCCTTCCCTCGGTCGAGCAACACCGCGTAACAGAGGAAAAACCAACAAAAAAAAACAATTTATAGAACAAAAAGCGAAATCTCCACATGCAATGAAACTCTTTGCAAACTTGGGCCTTCTACGAGCAATCTTAAAATCAACTTGTTAAAAGGAGTAATTGATGTAATTCTTGCTCAAAATGGAAGTGTGGGAAAGTAAGTTCCCAAAAAGGGCTCTTGTAGAAATGTGCACGTTAAGAAAAATTTACTACAAAGCCAACCAAACCAGTACCTAACACTTCTAATTATACCGAGAAGACGAGGTCAATGACACCATTCATATGTAGAGCTTAAGCATCCAAAATATGATCCAATAAGAGACATGCATCTAGACATTTTAAAATTCTGTTTTTGCATGTCTCTGGTTGGTAAACTGACGTCATTTTGTTGTAGGCGCGGCGCAGAACCGCAAGGGAGAGGAAATGAAGGCCATCGCCATTATTACCTGAGGGAGGAGGGCTGCTAGCCTGCTAGTATCTTCGTTCTCTGGGTGAAGTTAATGAAAATATCAATAAACATAATTTTCCATGCTTGATCTTGGTTTTAGTTCTGGAAGAAAGGCTAGGTGGGTTGAGCTTTGTCTCTTCTAGCTGGATCTTGCAAATCCTATACTGTTTTAAGGAAAATATTTAGTTTCTGGTGAATTAAATGCATGTTTTTCAATCATTTCTCTGCCTCAATTATTATACTTTGTTTTGATTTTATGGAGATTGGATCTAGGTTTAAGAGTTTATCATTTATATTCTATTCTGATTGAAGAAGTCTGCTGTATGCCTGAAGTTCTTTTGTTTTTGCTGGAAGCCTGATAGACTGTTTTTTCATTCTTTTTTTTCCCCGTTGGAAAGAAGGTGATTTGTTTATTGGCTATGTGAAGTCTCATAGAATTAATTGCCAGTTAAAAAATTAATAGTTCTGGCCGGGTCAATGGTCCGCCTAACAAGACTTCCCTGTGCATCTTGAAATATTATCATTTTTAGTATTCAATGTTTCAGTTTCACCTAGTTACTATTATATTGTTTTATTAAAAGGATTTATAACGATTTCTTCTGGTTGTGCGCCAAAAGTTTTTTTTTAGATCTATTAGTTAGTTTTCAAGCGCATTTAGAGTTAATTTTTCCAAAAAGGAAACTGTAATAGGATGGATAGTGAAGCCTCGAATGACGATGCTATGGAAGTGCTTTGACTTCCAGGGTGTACTGGAAGGGAGTTTTACTGGACTTTTCGCAGAGTAATAGAACTGACGTCCTGACATTGCTCTTTTAGAACTGTGTATGCTAGTTGGTCCTTTAATAGAACTCTCTTCAGGTTTTAGTTCTGGATACTTCAACAAGTGTCAAGATATTCCAATTCATTGCTCTGGATAAACAGAAAGATGAATCTTGGGTTTTTGTCTTGTTTTCAAATGTTTACTATCAAGTTTGCAATGAAAATTTGAGAGGCGCATATGTCTTAGAGCTCAACGTTGGATAACCTAATAACAAAAACCAAGTAACCTCGTAATATTTAGCTTAGTTGCCAGAGTCATACTGAAGCATACTTATGGTACTAACTTGATAAGTTAAAATTTGAGGGTCATCTTGACTTGGTTGTTTTTTATTTCAATTTCGCAATGGGTCCGCACTTCCATTGCATGCATTATGATTTTGATTGGATGCTTAGAGGGTCTTAGGATTAGCTTTTAGAGAATAACTTTTGGGAAAAAGTGATAAAAAAGATTTTAGAGAATAGCTTTTGAGTAGAATAAATTTTGCAAAAAAAGTGATTTTGATAAAATATGTTTTCTATATGTTAGTCACTGTTGATGTAAAAATATTTTGTTGCTTCTTACTTGTTACATTGACTTGTTGGGTTTTCTTGTTTTGGAAATTCTAGCTGTGTACCATACTTAATTTTAGCCTCTTGTATAATTTTCAGTGTAACAGTTATTTGAAGCTCTGAATATTTTGTTGCTTGAAGCATGAACAGTTACCATAGTGCCTTGGCTTTTTAGCCTTTCAACAAGATGGCGAGACTACCAGTGAAGATTATCTAGGATGCAGAGGAGGATCTCTGCTTCAAACTCCCCATTTGTATTTATCTTTAAAAGAGGCTGGCTTCTCCAGATTGTAAGTGCATGTTTCTCTCATTCTCCTCGGAATAAAAAATGTGATCATGTGGGGCCTAGAAGCAAAGATGATAGAAGTAACTGGGAAGGTCCTTGAAGCTGTGGGTTAGGGTAGTGTGATTGTTCCAACTATATGCAGGGTTCAGTTGCTGAAGACCTGGCTTCCTATGTCCGGAAGATGAAGCCTATACTAGACTCAAAAGGCCACTGAGGAGATAGGTTTTCCATACAAGATGGGTGAAGACGTGTGCCAGAACATTGAGGGGTCAGTCGTGTCGTTGGTGCTGACCTTGCCGTCAAATGATCAGGCAGACATTCTTGCCGATTGGGTCGAGGATGAGGAGGTTAAGCATCTTGACTTGAGCGAGGCTTTCGAGGTATGGTGTTACAGAATCAAGTCTGTAAAGAGAAGACTCATGGAAGGTTTAGATGGCCACAGTGATGACAGCATTTGAGTTGGGTTCCAAGACCCTGACCTTTTTCAGTTTTCTTTTTTGTTCATCTTTTCGGCTTCAATTCTATGTTTTGAACTACCAGCGGTGTTGGTATAAGCATATCTGAACCTCAGTGTATGATTAGTGCAGCAATAACGACTCATCCAATTGATAACGGTTCAGAATGTAATTCAGGAAGTTCATTGTTTTTGTTGTATAATCTATGGCATAATAGCATGATAATACTTGATTGCGCATAAAAACGCGACTTGGAGATAACAAATTTAGATAATTATTTTTTGTGATCCCCTCCTTTTATTTATTTATAATGTGATTTGTTGCAAGAAATAAGCAACTCTTTTTTCTAGAAATTAAAATTGAGAATATTGCTGTTAAATTTTGAGTATAAGGAAATAAAACTTCAACTTGGATAATAAATCTCAAATAATCATATAAGAATATAAGATTAACCATATCTGTAGCATTCGCAATTATTGAATTTTAAGTTACAACTCCTATTTTATTTTTAGCCTGATTCTCAAGAATAACTTGGTAAAAACGCAATTGTCATTTTTTCGTAATAAAAAAAGAAATTGTCAAATTGATAAAACAATTGCATCATTTTAAATGCTTTTTCTTTGATTTATTTTATAATCACTTGGTCTGGGAGAATAAAAGACGGAAGAAGAAAAATGGTAATTTGGGCAATTGCCTGATTTTTGGATCGTTTGGACTTCGGATAAACTTTATTTTTCCCAAAAAAAAAATTGACGTTTTCTTTTTAATTTTAAAGAAAACTTGGCATATGGTACAAATACTTTGAATGGTTAATTTGGGAAACCCCCCCCCCACCCCAAAAAAAAAAAAAATTTGATTTACCATATAACAATAGTATAAAAACCCCAGAATTTGTATCAAGAAACACTGCTTGCCTCTTTTCCAAGCATCAAAGCAAAAGGAAATTGTGCTAGTTTTCAGATGTGGTGTCATTACACTCTGCTGGGTTAGCTTGGCTATTGACAACATCAACTGCTTGACTATAAGCACTGGCAAATGATGCGAGTGACTGGAACAAATGAGGAAGGCTCGATCTGAGGCTGTTTAGAGTCATCACTTTGGTCAACTGCTTAGCTTTCAAAAGATTTTCCTCCTCATTTTCCTTTTGCTTCCTTAAGGCTTCAATGTTGCCACGTTTAACTGATAAAAAAGCTTCAATTTTGGCACGTTTAATTGCTGAAGGATTACTAGGGCTTGCAGGTGTATCTCCACCATCATCGTTCCACTCAAGTTTGTCATTCATCTCTTCTAGCGAGATCTGTTCCTTGTTCAGCTTTCTCTCCAATTTTTTGACCCTTTTTTGCAGTCTGTTTTCTGCGGCTTGCTGGGCAATTATGCTACTAATAGATGATAGAAGGCTTTTTATTGATTCAGAGGTCTCCTGCAACCACATCAAAGCACAAGAAAATTTATAGATCCTACTACTCACAAGAAGTCAAGGACTAAATCCACACACGCAAAAAAAATGCACCAGGTGATTACTGTCATTTCATAGACCAAGAATCAAGGATATTCACACAAAAAGAATCATAGACGTGTCATGATTTTTTTTTCTGTTTTTTTTTTAACATGAATGAGTTTTACAATATTCTTAACTTACTAATTTTCAATTAGGCAATAATTAATTACTTCCACATGATGCACATAACCTTGTGGTCATCTCTCACAGTACATTTACCCTTCATTATAAAGTTCACTCCAAAATTTTCAGCTATTGTTATGTAGCTTCATGCACTGCCATAACTCCAAAACCAGGAGTGAATGAAACTGGCCTCATGAGGTCCAGTAATGCTGGTAGCCAAATACAAAAATGGGAGGGCTAATATTGCAGAGAGAAACAAACAGTTAAGGTGATATGATTTGGAAAAGAACATTTGATAGTTTTTCAGTTTCGAAATTAAAACATGAAAAGGAAGTAGATCTGGAAAAGAAACTGGCCTCATGAGGGCCAGTAATGCTGGTAGCCAAATACAAAAATGGGAGGGATAATATTGCAGAGAGAAACAAACAGTTAAGGTGATATGATTTGGAAAAGAACATTTTATAGTTTTTCAGTTTCCAAATTAAAACATGAAAAGGAAGTAGATCCAGAAAAAAAAAAAAATCATCTATTTAACTCTGGAATAATCAAGACAAAGAAATAGAAAGTTTTAACAAAAAAAAAGTTTGGGCAAAAGTACCTTATCAGGTACTTTGGCAAGTCCATGCATCCACTGTTCACTAATGCTATGAATCATTGAGGCGCAACCACTCCGTTTATGGTCATCCATGAGGTAATCAGTACGTTGAATCCATTCATACAGAATCCTTACGTATTCCCCCTGAGATTTTACCAGGTTACAAAAGCTATTATACCAATAGCTGACCTCAGTCTCGAATTGAAGTGTGGCCTGGTGATGATAATCAGAATTTAGTAATGTATTTTGATTATCACCGAGGTAACTCAACCGCTGCGAGATGATAATTTGGGCTTGATGATATTCATGCATTGTCCTCCACATTTGAGTCAACCTGCAAAACAATCACGAGCTTAAATCAAAACTCCGGGACAAGATTGAGATACAGATGACACACCATCCAAGTGAATTCTTCATTTGCCCCTCAAATCACAAATGATATTTAAATAAAAGTTTTCGCCCTTGTGCAAGAGAAATATATAAAATATCCTTTAAAGGTAAACCGAATTCCTCTTAATTTTCTCCTATCATTCTTACAAGTATTGATTGACATAACTAAGGGTTTGCAAATCAATATGGAACTTCACGAAGGTATTTATTTCTTCACTTCTAGATCCCTCTATTTTTTTCCTTTTATGAAAGGAATTTATTTGCAATTTAATCATATCAATTTTGTCATACCAATCAGTTATAGGGTTTTGATAACATTTATCTACACCAAATCAACAATTGCTTTTTCATGATTTTTTTTTTTTTTGGGTGTACTGTTTCTTCACGATCTTTTTTCCTGCAAATACCTCCACAAGGATAACTAGATTGTCTTAAAATCAGGATGAATGTTAATGCATGATTCAAACTGGAGTAACTCTGAAAAAGCCATTGCCAGAGGACACTACCCTGAAGTCAATTCAACTAGCTGAGGATACAGCTCCTTATCCATGATTTCCAATATTGAAGAAGCTGCTTCGCTGATTGATTGCTGCAGTCGTAATAGATTTGATTCTAAATTCTCAACACTTAATCGAGTTTTTTCACTCTCAACCCAGTCAGGGTTCTCCTCCAACTTTTTTTGCAGTAAAGAGGATTTCTTCTCATACTCCAATTTCCCAATTTGTTCCTCCTACAATATATAATGTTTAAGCAATGAGACAAGCATGTTATTCGAGAAACTGGGGAAAGAAGCATGCTCAAACTAACTTATCATAGAACATATAATGACAAAGCATTGGATCAAAGAAACTAATCCCTCACAAAAATGGAGGAAATAATATGATAAAGACAATTCTATAATCACAACTTAAATATTGCAACTTATGCCAATATAAACACATCATGCATAGCAAATTAATTAACACTATATGTATGTTTTACCTTTTGTTACGAAGCACTAAAAACTCATATAGAATTCTAGCACCTAAAACATCCCCTCAGAGAAAAGGGGGGAAGTCCCTTAGAGATGGTTGGGACAAATGACAAATAGGAACCTCTAAAATACTCATGTTTGCTCCCCCGCACCCCTTGCACCCCCCAGTGCTACCCCCCAATTTTTTTTTTTTTGGGGGGGGGGGGGGGGGAGGGGGACAGAGATTCCTACCCTCACCTATGAAGATGGATGGCTTGCTTTGTTAAAAATGTTGTGAGCAGATCTGTAAATATTGTAAATAGTTATGTGTACTTATTCTTTGATACTGGTGAATCAGAAATTATTGGGATTTATTAGCTTTATTCTCTGGTTTTTTTTTTTTCTGGCTAAGGTGCAAATTTGTCAAGTTTTCACTCAAGAGTACTGGGCACACACAAGTTTTTTGGGTGCAAATTTGTCCCATTGTAACAATTTTACCCTACTATTAAAAAACTAACATTGACTGTTAAAATAGTAACATTGATTATTAACATTTTTAATGGTAACGGACAAAATTGATACGATTTAAAACTTTCGGGACAAATTTGCACAAAAAGGGGGGGGACTTCAGGATGCTTAACACTCTTGAGTGAAAACTTTCGAAGAAAACTTACACCTTAACCCCCTCTTTTTTCTTTGCAATTTTTATCTTAGGGTCCCTCTATATATCCTTGTATTCCTCTGGTGAAATAATAATGAGCATTTCAGCCCATTTGCTCACATGGTATCAGATTGGGCCAAGTTTATCAAAGAAATAGGCTCAGGAATGCTACTAAAGGTAAAATGGACATAAGGCTTATTATTGCAGGTGACCCCCAACCTGGAAAAAGAGAAAAATGGGGCAAGGGACTCTGATATCTAGGGCTTTGAGCCCTAGGTGACACAGACAACCATTGAGTGTGGCAAGGGAGAGAGCCCTGGCCTCTCAAAAGTCAAGGGAATGATTTACTATCTTTAGCTACTGTTAATTAAACTCCTACTGCTGTAATTAAGGAGTACAATGCCTAGTGATTGGCTGCCCTCTCAATTTTCCCTTAGTAAAGAGGATTTTATTGACTTTTTTTCCTAATTTATCAGCAATAATACCTAGTTCTATCAGATTAGATGCCCAGAATCATCAAACCAGGCTGCTACATGATAGTGGGAGATTGACAACTCCGTGGTCTCTTCATGGCTCATTAATTCCATGATTCCTACAGTTAAATGATCATTTATGTTCTTTTTTATCGCCTGAGATATGTAGAAAGCTTTCTGACAGACAATCTTACCCTTATAGTGAGCATATATCTTAGCTTTTTGAAATAAAAACCAAATTATGGAAAATGAAATAGGGAAACAGGGATGAGACATATTATTGGCTTGAAATGGTGGCTCTTTGGCAAGAATTTGATCTGAATAGTGAAGAGGAGTGGAACTACAAACAAAAGGTTGAAAAAGGAATGCATATTGAATCCCTTGAAGGATTAAATAATATTGATGATGTTCGAGGCAGAATTCTGAGCAGAGTACCACTGCCAACCATCAGAAGTGAGAAAGTGATGTTGAAGAAAGAATCTAATAGAAATACAGAAGCCTCAACCGTGTTGTCCCACAATTCTGATTCTCATAGTTTTGAGTCAAACTCTAGAGGACAAAAAGAGAATAAATGATGCAAACACTTTAAATTGTCAGGGCATTCAAAGGACACATGCTGGGACGTTGTGAGTTAAATGGCAAACTAGCTGACCAGAACCAGAAAAGGGCAAGCCTCATGCATATAATGCCACAGCAAAACAGAACACTGAAAAAGTAGGTGAAGGGCACAAAAACCAACTGGACTAAATTCAGGAATTATTGATAGCCATGCAAATTTCTGACTAGCACCAACAGAAAAAAGTTCCTACAGCCACAATGGCATATAAAGGTAATTAACCACATGCTTTACAAGTGTCCCACTTAAAGTCTTAGAGGATTGTTGACTCAGGTGCAATAGACCACATGACGAATAAGTACCAAGTACCAACTATTCAATACCTAGAGTCCATGTGCTGGAAATAAGAAGATCTGAATTGCCAATTGGACTCTCACCTACGGCAGGTAAAGGAAGTTTCCAAGTCTTGGACTCGTTGGCTCTAAATTGCATTTTACATGTTCTGAAACTAGCACGCAGTTTACTATCAGTGAGCAAATTGACTAGAAAAGCCAACTGTAGTGCTCATTTCTTTCCTACTTATTGTATTCTACAGGACCTGCTGACAAGGATGACGATTGGCAATGCTGAAGAATATGATGGGCTTTACTACTACCTTGATTATCAGTTGACTTCACCCAAAAAACCAAAAAAAAAAAAAAAAAAAAAAAAAAACAAAACAAAACCAATGCAAAGATACTAAAGCCAAGATACTGTAGTAACCATAGTAAAATTCACAAAAAAGCATAAGTCAAATCAGTTGACTTTGCTTCCAAGTGTATCTTTATTTTGTTTAGGGCTTTTTTTTTTAATTCATGAAAGCTAGGGTTTGGATTTATGGGTGATTCCTAAACTTTGATACCATTTTGAAATTAGTGATGGAGAGAGTTTAGGTGCTACAGAAAAAACAAACTCCAGTCTTCTACACCTTTCCTTTCTTTATGGTACTCTTAGAACACGGATTAACACAAGATAAGCTCCTAGAGATCAAGATAAGTGCTAACTACAAGATTCCTAGATAACAATAAACTCCTAAACATAACACACCCGCTTAATTTTTAGGAACTTGCTTTTGAATAGTTAATAGGCTTATCATCCCTTAAGAGTTGGGTCACACATAAATTTTTGACGCTGTGTAATTTCTTACCCATAATGCCAAATTTGAACCAGATTGATGGAATACAAGACTTTGCTTCACGTCTTTTCAAGGAAGATGAAGGACATGCAAACTTGTTCACTTACCTTTAATAACTTATTAAGTCTCTTCTCAACGGCATATAATTTTTTAAGCGTGGCGCAATGAGCCCCTGGCTTGCAAGTTCCATTAGGACCGGATGATTCAGCAGTCTCCCTGATATTCTGGCATGACTTGGTATGCCTATTCCAAGAAAGCACACTGAAGACCTTTGCAGAATCACTTTTTTTTGCTGGGAAAAAAAAAACAACCTAAGTAAATTTCAGAGGAACTCACACGAGTAAAAGATGTCAGTTTACGTAAAGAAAAGTTTTTTTCCAAAGGAGTGAGAAGAAAAGTTTTACCTTTTTACCTAAACTTTCCATCTGAATTTAATGTGTCAGCTTTCAGTCTTTACAACTACTTCCTATCATCATCCTTTTACTCATAGTTAACAAATTTGCATGAGTGAGCCATTATCCATTTTTCTGCTTAATTCTACTGATTATTATATTACCTAATACAATCTGACAAAATGGTAACATTATTTATAGCTAAAATCGATTCATCAGCACATAAAAGAGATCCTGTAATCTTAATGACATAGATGATGAAGAAGGCGCTGATGAGAACAATTTAACATTTACAAAATTAGAAAATAACCAAGAGGTGATTAACACAAATATATTCACTTTCTACAAGTTGATTAACTGAGATTGATACGTGGGAATTAGGAATAGTAACGGTAATTCAATCCACTCAGAAAACTGTCCAATGAATTCTACAGATACAGAAAGAAAGTGACAAACATCAAAGCAACACAGAAATTGGGCACAAGAAAAGTGGATGGTCAGTTCACAATAACTAAATCTGATTGTTGATTGTAAATAGATCCAACAAGATCCTACCACCTCAACAAATAAATATGCCAAGCTTTATGACCAAACTTTGCTTCATGCAAAGTTTAGCAGATACAGAATTCTGATCAGACAGCAAAATAGAGGGTGTGGAAGAATTCAGTAATAATCATAAGACAGAAACATGTTTTGCCTGCGATGAGGGCTACTCGCGCCCCGGGGGGTTCATTCGAGTGTCAAAACAAACATTATAAGGCTTATGAAAAATTATAATGAAAAAATAATGATGTCTAGATGACCACCACCTGAATATCCAAAAGTTTACGTACCTAGAGGCAAAACGTAAAGTGCAGTACATCCCAAGTTACGTAAAAAGGCGAAAACAAAGACAGCAGAAATTTTGAAGTTAAAAAAAGAAGCCAAAATGATAGTGCATGTAGCCTTACTCTTTTGACGTCCAGAATTCTGGTGCAGAAGAATATTTCCTTTACTGGTATCCATTAGAAGAGTTATTTCCTTCCTACCTTCAGATGCTTTTAGGAACCAATCATCTAACTCTTTAATAATATCCTCCAGTGAGTTCTTCCCTACACCAACTACCATGGACAAATTTATAGATTCTCCCTGTTCTTTCCACGGTTGTTTCTTAAGTGGATTTACACCACTTGCAACAGCTTGTGCTTCAGAATCTTCATCCTCAAATTCCGTGTTGGTTTCTGCCCAGTTTTCCTCAGTTTCTAGTTCTTCTATTTCAGATACTTTATGATAGGGTGAAGATGACCCAAAAATGTAGCCTTCCAATGACGAGCTCAAACTATGCTGATTTAGCTGCACAGAAGAATTCTTATCAGGACTAAGAGGAGGAGGAGGCGGTGGTGGTTGCGGTGGAGGAGATGAAGGCAGGGGGAGGGATGGAGAGGCAGGCCTAGTGTCATCAAGAGAATTTTCAAGCTCCAGCGAGTCAGAATCTATGAATTGCCTGAGGGTTACACCAATGTTCTTCAAAGCTTTCAAATAGGCCCACTGGGAATCAGAAAAAAAACCTCTAATGTGCACCAATTGTTTCATTAAATTCTTCCTCTCCTTACAGTTACGAATCTTCCCTTCCTCGTCCATATTTGACCAAACACACCCCATTTCTTAGATGGGCAACCAGTGATTACACTTCCACTGCAACAGATAACAGATGCTAAAGAGAACCTGTATGCCAGAAATCAGTTGAGGCCACCAGAAACAGTACATCCAGGGAAATATACTAGAAAGAAGCTTGATCTTCTCCTATTTTCTAACCATGTCTATACTGACAACGAATTATAAATAGTTTCACAGTTTTCATTGCATTAGATGCATTCCCTTTTCTAGTTATCAATGATCAGAATTCATTCACATTAACTTCAAAATCAAGTGCACGCAATGAGTGAAAGAATTCCCTGAATGGATATCAGATATTCAACCATGCTAACACGGTGACTATGATGACACCAAAAGTTCAGTTTCTTGGCTTCATGCAGGAGTCTAGTAATCCAATAATCTTCACAATCCCGGCCGACTCAAAAGCCAAATAGAAGATCTTGCCTACAAAAGAATAAATATCAGAATGAACCATTAGGAAGCAAATGACCTAAGGTAAAAGATTTTCGTTCACCTACGTACTACACTATACACATTAACTAAGATAACTTCCTCCGTAATAAATTTTCCCAGTTTTCCTGGCGTTAACAAAATAAGATTCATATGCCAAATTCAGAATCTGGTATTTATGCATGACATAAACCAAAGATTCAGAAAAAAAAAAAGGAAAAAAAAAAAAAAGAAAGCGCGAAATACAGGGTATTTTCGGGTCCAACTCTACAGCTAAGAATAAAATAGGGTAAAAACATGGCTATTACAAATCAATTTAGAGAGACTCCAAGAGAAACTCACGTCAATCTATCGATTCAGCCAGGAAATAAATAAATACTGTTCCAGATTAGAAATGTCTGACATGGAGCTAGACTACTCCTTCCTTCAGGGGTTTGGATTCCAAAGATATATAAAGCACAAAAGGCAATTCTTCTTCTCGCGATGAAAAGCATTTTCAAGAGAACTCCACTTTTGTTCACGCTTTACAGGAGGAGGAGGAGGAGGAGGAGGAGGAGGAAGAAAAGCACTATTTAAAATTTTAGTAACAACACATTATGGTATCTTAAAAAAACTGAAGCATGGTCACCATAGCAGAATGACATGCAGCGGTGGAAGCAGCAGGTATAGCATAGGACAAGCAAGTAGAGCTGCGAAGGCGAAGAAAAGGGAAGGCATTTGAGGTTGGAGAAGGAAGAGAGAGACGCGTAAGGAAATGGAAGTAGAGACTAGCAAGTAGTGAGTTTTATTTGATTTTTCATTGAGTTCAAACATTTTTTCTTGAAAAATTTAATTTTTTAATTCTTATACTTTTGAGTCAAATCCTTTTTTAAATTTTAATTCAGTGCAACTTAGTTTTAATTTAGTTGTTATTCGATTTCTAACTTTTAACTCACTTTAACTTATACAATTTTAACCATTTAAAATTTTAGTCTTTAAGTTTCATGAAAAAAATACAACTTTATTTTTTAAAATGAAAGTATTAATTTTTAAATAGTTAAACTATAAAGACAGAATTACATCGAATCAAAATTCAAAAATCAAGTTACAATCAAATTAAAATTATAATGATTAAATTGTGTTAAGTTAAAATTCAAGACATAAGTTATAACCGAGTTAAACCCATAAAGACTAAAATATGATTTTTTTTTTCCTTATCTTTTAATGAATCACATATAGAAACCTAATGAAAATTTAAGCGGAACTATGAGGTCTAAATAAAATTTAGGTAAAACTAGAAGACCTGATAAAAAAATTACAAAAATCAGAATAAAAATTAGATAAAATTATAGGGCCTTAGAGATTAATTTTTCCAAAACACATTTTTCTCTTTTTTTTGGTCTAGTGAATAGTGATGGAAACAGGTTAGGCTAGGCCAAGCTTTCACCCTTAATAGGCTAAGTTAAGCTTCACACTTAATAGGCTAGGCCTATGTTGAAGCCTGTTGGCCTAAATTAATGAGCCCACTAACAAATTTTGCTTACGTAAATGCATATGGAGGACCATGTTTTTAGTTAGTGCCTACTCTTGCATGATTTAATACCAAAAAAATTTAAAAAAAAAAAACACACACACACAAAGTAGTGATTAAATGAGGGGGTGGAAGAGAGAGTTAGAGTGTAGGTGAGGAAAAAGGAAGGAGCAATGTTGCACGTTATGAATGGCCCAGACATTGGCATGGTCAAAACAGCAAAGAGAAATAGACAAGTCTGTCTGTGTATGAATGAGTACGAAGAAAATGGTCCTTTTCTTTTTTTCTTTTTCTGTCTAATTTTATTTCTTACTAATCAGGCCCTTGATTGATTTTGAGATGCATCCTCCTCCTAGCTTGGCCCTTGGAGGAGTTGTGGTACCACTTCTTTATATTTTTGAAGTCTGTTGGCTTAGCCTGTGGCTTGTGATAAGGAACCTAAATTTTTTGAAATTGTCAAATATAAATAAATCAATCAATCCAAAATTACCACAACTCAATCTAAATATTTAAGTGAAAAATATATAATATTCAAATTACAATAATAAAGTGACTTATAAATGGTTTTTTAGGAGAAGATATAGTTAAAAAAGCCACATATTCTAGACAAAACAACTTGCAATAGTCAGCTAAAAAAGTCGATCAATGATAACATAATCCATTGATGCGTTCTAATCAGTTTGTGAAAAAAATTTGAGAAACGTAACCATGTCATTCATAGAATTGAGACTAAAAGATATGCAAATCATCATAAAGGGGCATCATTCAACGGATTGCACTTCAATAATACTCCTAGTCAACCTATCCAGTTCAAACCAAAATAACAAATGGCATCCTCGAATGGATAAATTATATCCGTCAGAACTAAAGCAATTTAAGTTTCAACACTTGAAGAACCAAAGTAATTTAAGTTTCAAATAGTAACATCTACTATCAGAATGAGAACGATCCTTCAAGGCAAACACAGAACGACAGAGCCGAGAATATTTCTCTTAAAATATACTCAAAAGAGAAACATAACATGTAAATAAAACAGTAGAAAAGCACCGAGCACGAGCACCAGTAAGAAAAAAAGTCGAACACTGAAAGTCTGAAGGAAGAAAACTTGAACACCTCAAGATTGAAGATGCCGACAAAGTGTGTCAGGTTGTTCGACGAGGAGAGGAGAGACTTGCTGCTGACGAACTAGGACTCACGAATCACAATGGCGAGTGGCGACTCATAAGGACAGAAGGGGAGATGGCGATGGGGGCGCTCTGCTAGGGTTCTTGGACTGGGTCAGGGGATGTTAGATTCGAACAGCGGCCGGTGAACGGAGGTCGTAGGGTGGAGAATGGAGGTTGGCGACGGAGATTGAAACTTGATTCTTGATTCGAACTGTGAACGGCGACTGCTACTGGAAGGACGAGGTTGATTCTTTAAGAAAATAAAAGGAGGATATCAAGTAGCAATGGCGGGTTTCATTACTTTTATGCCATTTTCGCCAGGAACCAGTAGAGAAAGTAAGCTTTCTTAACTAGCTTTAAGAGAAGTAAAGTAGCCGGGATACTTTGACCAAAAAAAAAAAAAAAAAAGCAGCCGGGAAAGTGGAAACGAACGCTAAAGAAAGAGTTGCTAGGAACAAACGACTGTGCTGCTAGTGGGATTATCCTTCGTGTTTAAGGCATCCAATGGGGTTCTTTTTAATATTCTAAGGGTCGTTTGGCTGGGTTCAAAGGATAAAAATAAAGAGAAAAAAATTGAAAGAAGGAAAATGAAAAATTTCCAACAAAGTGAATATTTGGTTCACAATGAAATTAAAAATAGATTCAATAAAAAATTCATGTTTAATTGGATAAAGAGAGGTAGGAAAATTGATTTATTTTATCATATTACCATTAACAAAAGAATATCATATTGTTAAATAAAAATATTTTTTATAATGATATAAATAAAAAATGCCATTTTAACTTACACAATAATAATATTATTCAAAAATGCAATAATTTAATGTTTGAATAAATAAATATGAATATTTAATATAAATATAAAAATCATTATATATATTAAATGATTAAAGAAAACTCAATTTGAATATAAAAAGGAAATATAAATATTACATAAAAATTATACTTGATTTTGTTTCTTGAGAATTGTAATTTTTTTCAATTTCTTGTTTATATTTTTATCAATTAAAATTTTTATTGTAGAGAAAATTTGTATACTATATTTTAAACAAAAATTAATAAGCAAATGACATAATATTGAAAAACTCGTTAAGCCTAATTTCCAATGCAACAAGACTTATTTTTTAAAAAAAAATATTTTTATTTTTAAAATAATGTCATATGAAATTTAAGTTTTAATATAACAAGAAAATGAGCAACCAAAATAGAATTTGATATAGCAAATTTGATTTTTTTTTTGGCAGCTAATTTGAATTTGTTCAGTAAAATTTAAACTGTCTTGCACCACATTTAAATTTGTTCAAATATATTCAAATTTCTGATAAAATTGCAGCAAAATGTCTATCATATTCAAAGTCACTCTACCAAATTCAAATTTGTTTATTCCCTTACTGAACATAACTTTTTCAATTTAAATTTAAAATGGGCAAATAACATATCATTGAAAAGCTTTTTGAATCTACATGTTAATAAATTAAGACACATTGGAAAAAAATTTGAATTTTTAAATTTACAATCACAAGAATAATCAAAGGTTAAAAACAATTTTTCTTGTTTTCATTCTTTCCTCCTAATACACTTTGTTTGCCCCTGTTTTTAATTTAGGAAACAAAGCAGTTAACTATAGCAAATAGCAATCACTTTGCACTTTGAATTTATTCCAACCTTCCCAGAATTTATTATCAAGGCATAAACTTTATATCTTTTTTTCGTCATTTTTTTAAATGAATCTTTTAGAAAAAACAATATTTCAACCACAAGCATAGTATTTACATTCCACAGTAAATGACATATCAGAACTCATTTAATTGCTCCTCATGCAAATCAAGAACCTGGCCTATATATATTCAGACTATGTACACTGGGTTATGTGATGTTTCATGCATTTACAATTACGAGAGCTTCGTAAACAAATACGGCTGCTGATACTGACTAAACAAATTCTTAAGAGGTGTTTGGTAACCTTAAAAAGTACTTCTCAAAAGTACTTTTCTGTAAAACAAGACGAATTTCTCCACATATTTACTTCGTAAATCGTAAAAACACTTTTAAAACTATAGTTTAGTTTCTATCTAAATATCCACTTAATCCTTGCGTTCGAATCAGGTTGTAGAAAAGTCTTCCTTTTCCCCAAACTTCTCCACGCACTAATCTATCTTCAGATTTCGTGAACTCCAGCTCAACTTTTTAGGGCAAATGGGTTGATAGGCATTTCACCTGGGCGATTAAACTTAGTTCCCCCGGCCACTTTTGGTGGGATCCTATTTTCACATATTTAAAGAAAAATCAGCCGCTGTCAGAAATTCATTTCCCACCATTTCTTTGAAAGAAACATCCGTCGCCAGTGAAAAATCTTGTTTTTTATTTCTATCACAAGATTTTCTTTGAACCAAACAGGCCTTAAAAACATGGAAAGCTATTTGAACATAAAGATTTTTCTTTTTGGGCGAATGAAAATGATGAATATGCAAGTTTTGATTTGGCCTTGGGAGAATGGCCAATAAATAAAATATGAATAATTAATGGCAGTGGTGGAATTCTCTTTTTCATTAAAAAAAAATATTAAATTCTAGAATTATGGCAGTGGGGGCTATCCTTCGTGCTTAAGGTATAGAAAGACAAGAAAAGCAATTTGGAGATGATGAGCATGAAGGCTTGCGTATTCATTCCGTGCTCTTGTTATGAAATAAGACTATCAAAATTCAGTTTGGATGGTGGATATAGGGCTTTTAATATAAAAATTGTAAATGATAAAACAATAAAAAAATAATTATAAGATTATTTTTATGTTAATGTCGCATCTCTCCACCAAGTTTCATGTGTTATTAAAATTTTGACAACCGTTTGTTATGAATGAAATGGAGGGAAGGGAAGGGAGCAAAAGTTTTAAAATAAAATACTCTAACATCCCTTATATTTTATTTTTATTATACGGATTTTTTTTTCATTTTGAAAATATACACTTAAATCGAAATAATTAATTTCATCACAAATATTCTAAAAAGATGTTTTTTTTAATTAAAACTTGTGCTGAAATACTTTTTATCTACTAACTTACCCTTCATAATTCTAAATTCTTAAATTTTGGTTAAAAGTATTTTGAAGAGTTTAAGATTTTTTCCTTCACTTTAAAAGTTTACTTTTTTATTTTTACAAATGTCTTGTCTAATGTTGTTATCATGTTGGAGCAGAAAATTAAATAATTTAGTTAATATAAACATAAAAAATTAATTGAAAATTTGATTAATTCTTTAAATAAATATACAATCGTTCAAATAAGTTATGAATGTTTGCAACAAAAAAATTTTAAAAAAATTCAATTTTAAATTTAAATAATTTATATAATGTCCCAAACTCACATAATTTATATTATATGATAAAAAAATATACATTTGAAATATTTTCTAGCCATTCAAAATAAACCTACATAAATAAGTATCAATATGTTATGAAGAATTAAAATTGAAAAATCAAAAATATGTATGCCAGGATGAAATGGTTGTTACTAAATGCTCCAATAACAAATCATTAGTTTGACTAAATAACTATGCAAAACAAATAGACCTTTCTTTCTCTTCGTCCCAGGTCAATGGATCTTCTCAATTGAAAGATATTAATATTGCATAGACTTCGTAATCTAGACATGGTTAAATCTCCGCCCCCAAACCCGTCAAATATGGCATTCGCCGAAGGGAACTCAGCTCTAGATGTCAAACAGCAGGAAACAACTAACAATAAGCTAGAAGTACAATGCTACCTGAGAAAATATAATAAAAAGTTGTAAACTAAATTATTCATGTACCGCGGAAGATATAAGGAAAGAACTTTAATTTAATTATTTAATTATCTTCCTGATTTTCTTTGTCTTTTTTTCCTATGTTATCTATGTTCGAGTGATTGGGATATACATATACTACAATGACTTAATTTCAAATCCGTGGTAGACTTGATTTTACCAAAGATGATGAGAATGTGAATTCCCGACCATTTATGTGTTAGAGAGACCATTTCTTATTTTATACTGAAACAATTTTCAAAACACCGGTTGAAACAGATGAAATCAAAAGGCATTACTTGAATGCTACTACAGGTACAAGCGAAGAAATGATCAAAAGAGCTGTGTTTGCCTGAGAATTGGGGCGTTTCTATCCTAATACATGACTACTTAACAGGGAGATTCATTGCAAATACTAGCTTGGCTCATTATTGCCGGGATAATGGTCTACTTCTTCATATCCACACAATGCATGCAGTTATCGATAGACAGAAGAATCATGGTATGCACTTACATGTACTAGCTGAAGCGTTATATTTGTCTAGTGGAGATCATATTCACACTGGTACCGTAGTAGGTAAACTTGAAGGGGAAAGAAAAATCACTTTAGGTTTTGTTGATTTACTACGTGATGATTTTGTTGAGAAAGATCGAAACCACAGTATTTATTTCACTCAACAACATCGATGGAATTCACTTCACCTCTAAAACCGCCGTGAAAAACTCATTTTAATTGCCGTTAAAAGCTTTTTTTTGTAGTAGTGATTGAAACATATTGGGAAAGTTTGACAATCCTTACAATTACTTAAAAAAAATGCTTTCACATAACTTGAGACAAAACTCCTCTTATACACCTATCTCTATTACTTTTAAAAAAAGTTAATTCAAACACCTAATAAAGGCATTACATCGAACTTTTTTTTATGCCCATATACCATGTGCCATACAGGTACCTGCTACTTTATATGCAAGTCAAGGAAACAGTTTGGCAAAGCTTTGAAGGACAAAAAAGCATATTTCTTTTCTTCTTTTTTTTTCCTCTGGATGTTTAAAGGAGAAATGACATTTAGATTCAAACCTCAAAAGAATAATTTAGTAATAATAATTAAATTTTAATAGTTTTGCACAAAGTAATTTATAAACATCCATCTAACACTCACAAATATCAAATATGAGTCTCAATTACAAATCACTGGAAGTGCTCTATGAAATTTAAATACCAAGATTTTAATGCCTAATTTACAAATAACGCTTACATTTCTAACCGTTTGAATTGATATTCAACTCATAATTTAAGTAAAATTTCTTAGAACTTAACGTTTATTATACAAATCTTGAGTCTTAATCCCATTTCCCCACGTTTATAAGCTAAATAAACAATAAAAATTAAGTTTCATGTCAACTTTTTCTTTTAAATTATGGTCAATCAAGAATTTTCAAACAACGGTATTTTGTTCCAAGCGAGTAGTACAAACGGAGAGTTAACAGTAATAGTAGTTCCTGCTGAGTAGTATCAAGCTTTGAGCATTCAAGCATGGAATAATCAACATATATAACTTGTCAAACAACAAATTTATACTTGGGCCCTACTATGCACAATAGTGACTAAAGAATTGCTTGCCATTTTCTTAAGACAATGAGTGCAGCCAACTGAATCAATTTACCATATCATATATCAAAACATTCCGAAGTTGAATCTCACTTCCAGGCTGCTTGATCATTCATATCTCGAACTGTTTCATCACATATTCATCTTTCCTCCGCGTTCACGATCAATGGAAGCTGAGAGAATTCCAAGATCCCGATTTAAGACTGTTAATGCAGATTCACATTCAGATATTATTCTTGTAACAGAAGAAGGCTCTCCGGTTGTCTCAGAAGATCCAACAGCAAGAGCAGCGTGAGAGTCTCTAAGATTCCTCAGGCTACCCAGAAACTGTGAAGAACAGAAAGTGAAAAAACATAAGACTCGACATCGTTTATGAGGAAAAGATAGCATCAGAAGTAGACGGTGAGAAAGATCGTTGGAATGGAAACCTTCAATAATTGGACCCTGCCAAAGTAGGTAGTATCTGTTCACGTGATACCAAGTATTCAAGAGGTCAATTCTTCCCTCACCTGGTAAACCTTCTTGGTTGGAAGCCAAGTCAGCAAGTGTAACCTACTGCCACTGTGTTGACTAGACCACCCAACATTGCCTATCTACGTTCATTATTTACGCCATATGGCAGCTATATCCAAAACTGCAACTTTTTCTTTTCTTTTGGGGAAAAAGAACATTTACAAATGGTTATGAGATATCTACTGGTGTTGTATAGTATACAACGCATACTCTTTCCCCACTTTGAAGTGTTGATGTTCCATACAATATTCTCAACATTTACAAGGAAGGAGGAGGAATACATATTATAATACTTAGCGCCCCCCCCCCCCCCCACCAAAGAAAAACAAAAATGTATACCCAATTCTTGACTTTGAAAATTCTTAATAAACTCTAAGGAATAAATAGCTTAATTAAAAGGTTCTCCTTTTTGTGGATATACAAGTAACTATCATTAAATAGATCATACAGGATTTTCTCAAGCATCACTTTGGATCCAATAAGAGCATTCCAGGATTTATTAGAACAAGCTTCTTAACCAAACTTTAGGAAGTTTGCTTCTTACCTTCAAAAGCATTTTATAGGCCTCCAGTAAACGATTGGCAGCTGGTCCAAACCCATGTAGTTGGGGTACCTCCATCATGTGTGTCCAGGGACGAATTTCCTTAATAAAAAAAACAAAGAAAGAATATTCTATCAGCTTAGGCAGCTCCAAATTTGATGCATTTAGAATTGCAATTATTAGACAATCATGAAGACATAAGTTTTGGGTGTTCTCATAGCAATAGATAATTAACTATTCAAGCTAACACCCAAGAACAATTTGCAATGAGCACAAGAGATGATAAGGGTTGACAATGATTCTAAAAGGACAGAAGTTGAATTTTGCCCATGATCAAAGATTTAATAGTTAAAGCTGGTATGGCAGATTCAAAGTCAGTGCAGAATCCTATGGCATCAAGGGTCTGATTAAGGAAGAATGGAGAACATTCTCTTGAAGATCCATCATTCTATCGATTGATTGTAGGGGGAGTACAATATGCTACTATCACAACCTAGTTAGCATTCCTCGCGAGTAAGTACGTCAGTTTATGCATAATCCTCAACAGGAGCATTGGGCAGCTGTTCAAAGGATTTTGAAATGCTTAAGTGGAGAACTTAAGCATGGGCTGGTAATCTGGATATTAGATATGAGAATCAGGCCATTAATGTGGATGACTGATGGGTACCTAAGTGGGATAAGGAACCCTACACCAAAAGCTAATTGTTGAGGTGAGAGAACCAACCCACTTGATTACCCCATTGAGTATCCCATTCTACTCAATGTGGGACTTGGGATCCCACATTACCAAGTCCCCATCAATGACAAAGACCATAAGTGACTATCCTGCATTTCTGGGTTATAATTTAGTCTCATGTTCCTCTCCAAAAAAAAAAAAAAATCACTGGTCTCTAATCTAGCACAGAAAGGGAATTACAAAGTTTAGCCAATTGTTTGTCAGAAGTTGTCTGGATAGATCCTCTATAGCATGAATTATGCATTAATGTGCCTTGCACGATACCTGTGGTTCATTGTGACAATCTTTGTACTGTGCCGTTATCTTCCAATCCAGTATTACACATGAGGAGCAAACATATTGAGTTAGTTTGGAACTTGTTTGGGAAAAGTCATTGACAAGGGAGTAGTGCATGAGCCAGCACAAGAATAGATTGCCGACAACAGCCAGACTAAAGCTGTTAACTATAGCAGCTTTGCTCGGTTCTGGACAAGGCTCAGTGTTTTAGAGTTACCTTAAGATCGTGTTTCAGAATGGGGCTCAAGTTGAAGGGGTGAATCAGTGAATTTAGCAGCAGTTTGTTGTGTCACCCTCAGTATATAATTGAGGGAAGATATTGGGAAATGTATTAAAGGAAGTCAGTAGTTAGCCATTATGTTATTGGTGGTCCGTTAGAGACGTTATGATTATATACTCTTGAGTTAGTTAGCCAAAGAGTCTACGAATATGAGACATATAGAGCATGATATCTTTGAGTTTCTCTCATAGTCATCACGTTCTTTCTTATTGTTATCTGACTAATATATATCTGAAATTCCAGCATCATAACTCCGGATATCTTGTCAAATAATGAACAAAAATTAATTACAGGATTTAACCAATATGACCAGATCGTGCTGCTAGGTTATCTCTTAGCCTCAATGATATATCATCCTTATGGATTCTATGATGGAGCTATTTTAGTATGGTACATAAGACACTCTGAGGGGCTAGATATAAGCATATTATCATCCCCTTGGCCAATTGGACCAAAACTTTATAATTCTTAAGTGATGACGGTTCACTACATTGCCACAACTGCTTTCTCAAATATAATGCACGATAAGATTATTTGGCTAGGTTTCAAAGAAAGCAGATAAAAAAAAAAAAATTTGTATGCATCACAAATAATAGACCGGCTGGCAAACCTTTGTGTAAATCATATTGAAAGTTCTCGCAGTTTCCAGGAAAGATTCCAAATGTGCCCGCAGTTTGGCTTCCACCTCAGTATACTCCTCGTCTGGATTGTAAGCATGCTGCACACATTGTAAACCGCAATTACATCAAAATAAGCAAACTGAGATCACAAGTTTCCTCATTTACTGTTTGACAAGTGGGAATGAAAAAAATTCGGCTTTAAAACTATTTCAAATGGAGAATTGGAGATGAATAACAAAATGCAACTAAGTAACATAGACTTCAGCAATAAAGAAACTACAGAGAACTTTGTCATTAATTCAACACAAAGTTGTTCTGTAATTTTAAATTTGTAATAGTTTTACTTTTTACCTTTAAAATCTCAGATAGAAATGTCAATTTTCATAGGACCAACAGCAGGGAAAGAAGAGGACGCAGTTCAATAGACATTTGATATTTAATAAAGTCTTGTTTCAGCCCTGGTCATTTACATTGGGAGGATAACCCTTTCCTGCTCACTTTTATCTTTCCTCTTCTTATTTTAATATATTTCTTAAACAAAGAAAATGACAAAGAAGACAGCATGGGGATTAATAACTTAGTAATAAACCTTTGATGCCAAATCATCAACTTTCTGCTGAAGATTCAACAGGATTTTCGATTGTTCAGAAAGCTTTGCCTCCAGCTCAGAAACATCTGGCCTGCAAATGAACTTCGATTAAAGAAGCAGAATTATTTACTAAATCCCATGAGACAAGATGTCGGACGACATATACAAGTTGAATTCTCTTCATCCAAGGAACATTCAATTTCAAGTGAATTTACATCAATTAATGAGTAGAAGTGTTAGAAGCACTTTTTATTTAAAAATAAATAAATATGACAAGGAGATAAAATGTTCTTTAAAAAAGGAAAAAGTGGACCAACTGAATCTCCATAAATGTTAACATCATTCTCAAGGGTTTTATCCATGTGATGCTTAAATTTATTAAGTTCACATGCGGCTTTAATAACTACAAGGATACAACGAACCTCAAAAAGGAAGAAAGTTTGATTTCCATGCAGCGGCTTCATTACAATTTTGTGCATCAAAATTTGAATTTTACAAATGAATTTTATGCCAAGTTTATTAATGAATTTCGTTCATGGTTGCATGGAATTTTAATCGTATGATCTGTTTGCTATATGTTTATACTAATGCAATTTCTGCTATTAAAAGCATCTCTTTATGGAACACAAGTCACTGAATAAATAATTCTAAACGTATGCAGAGTCATAAGAGCACTAGATGAACACCTCTAGATGGACATTTTCTTTTTTTTTTTTTTGGGGGGGGGGGGGTTTGGGGAGTATCATAGTAAAATTTAGGTGGTATGCGATACAGCATCTGTTGTTAGATTTAACCATCCTCCCAGTCCCAGAAAAACTGTGATGATGATAAAAGGAATCTACAGAAAATATAGAATTTGAAAGCTGGGGAGAAACAGAAGGGACTGAACCAAAATATAATGAAAAACTCAATGGTGATATCTATGAACTCAAGACTGCCAGTATAAAAAAGACTCTAAACCTCTATTTACACTAGTACTTATAAACCTTTCTCTAAGTGCACCACAGCCAACTATTTCCTCAACCTACAAAACTTCCCTCAGATCTGAATAGCTCCTAAGAAGAGTGACTCTTTATCCATAAGTCCCAAATTCTTAACACCTCTCGACAAAATTCGACAAAACAGAGCTTGTTTGTTTATAATTGCAACATATCAACAAATTATTTTAGCAGCACTTGTGACATTACAGGAACTTAAGATATATGCTTTAAACAAAGGAAAATATAAGAAGAACAGGTCAAGATATTTAAATATCTTATCTGATACAATCAGTGTAAAAATGATGCCACCAGTACTGTTGAAAATATGCAGAGAACATGTCAAGAATTTGTGTATATTGTGGTCTGCAACAGTATTATCTAATACTTCGTGTGGTCCTCCATATAGCAACAACTATTTATGCACCACAGCTCGTCCCAATTTAGCTTGTCAACAAGGAAGTAGGATTACTAGCACGCTAAACATTTTGGACACCACATCGAATGTTTGATAGAATCTAAAAATATGAATATAGTTGGCCTATCAGATAGAATTCCATACCCGTCATTACTATGACATAAAAGACATGTTGCTATGGGATAATCATAGAATGCAAAGGCGAGATCAATAGGAAGAAAAGGAGATAAAAATATTTACAATGGATAGATGGATTGAATCTGAACATCAGCAGGAAACAATTTGCATTCTTCAGAAAAAATCTGAGCTTGCTTTTCCGCAATGCAGTCTATCAATTGAATGTCCTTTGCCACTTGGTCATCCACACTACAAAATCAGAATGCAAAGAAATATTATATCAGTTCCATGTGGCCAAATGGCAGAAAAAGTAGGTAGCATTAACCAGTAACCGTAAGTAATAAGACAGCGCACAACCTCCATTCAGGAGTATCAGCATAAATGCTAGCCTCAACTAGATCAACAATAAGTCGAAGCATTTCAGTCCGGTCTTCATAACTTCCACGTCCCTGTTATACATATGCCAGCTTTCAGGATAGTCGCAACTCCCCAGAAATAAGTATTAGTATGATGCGTAGTTACATAGTGAATTAAACTTGACTTGAAATTGGAATTAGCCATGTTCACTATTTCATAGCATTAAAAAGAGTTGTACGAATGCATCTAAAGGCGCCATAAACCGCAAAATTTGCAGGAGGTGGCAATGCACAAAGTAAATTAACAATACAGTATAAGAAAATGACTAACTTGAATGGCTTCTGTATCTATGGTAGTCGTGATACCCAAAAACTTAGCAATCTCGGCCAAATACTGAATGCGAGCAGTCTCATCGTCACGAACCAGAACATCCCCTTGTAAGTTTTGCTGAGAGAAGGGCGACTTATCACCTAACAGCCGGAAGAAGAGCCACTCCAACAAGGCATAACGCTCCATCCCAGCAAAAAGGAGGGACTGAGCAGGGGCATTGGCTCTTGGATAATTCAGCATCGCCAATTTCTTCTGCACCTCTTCCATTTGCCTGGCGGCCATTTTCCCTCCTAATTCTTTAAATTTGTGTTTCAATTCACTCCTACCACTCCACTCCCGTTTGATGATTATCACTCGAAAGGAACAGGAATACAGAACTTACGCTCAGAATTCCCGCCACTCGCCATCGTCGCCCCTCATCTTCCCCCTTCGTGGCAGTCTAAGATAATGAGCTTCGTTTGCGATCAGATCGCGAGTCGTGAGCCTCGTCCTCCCCAACTTTCCGGCCGTTTGAGCGAGATCTTGTTGCTAATTGGTGACCGGATCTGTGTTATTGTCTGCTTTCTTTACATTTATTGAACGGGATGGAAGGGGACTGGGAGGGAAAGAAAGAGGACTGACGAGGGAGTACGATGATCCGTGGACTGCATTTCCGATGAAGATGAAACATCCAAATAAGAATGGTGAGGGCGTAAGAGGGCTTATAACATAACACCCTTCTTCTTGCGGTAATTTTGATTCTAAATATAAAACTTATTTATCATATTATCAATTTTTTTTAAATTTATCAATATAGATACTCCCTCAACTATAATCAAGTAGGAGAGAAAAGAAGAGGTATTAAGAAAAATGATTATGGCATTTTAAGAAAAACATGTCATATTTTTTATAATTAACTAACTTACCTAACTTTCTTAATCTGATCAAATTAGTTAAATGGGTTTTATATTAAGGATTGAAGGAATACCAAAGACTTACAAAATATGTCTTATATTTATACTTAGGACCTAAGTAATATTAGACTCCGATTTTAAATATAACATCATTATACTAATATGTATAAAAATAAGAGTCTTATATTTAAGATCGAAAGAGTAATATATTGCTATATTTTTTATTATAGGTTTTAAATAATTAATTCACAGATAATAAAAAATTAATTAAAATAAGTTAAAAATAATAAGTAAATCAGAAATATACTATTATTTTTAAATATGTCTTTATAATAAATGACAAAAAAAGATTAAAAAATACAAAAAAAAGTGATAAAAAAATAGTTAAATGCAACATTAAAAAATATACATTAAATATTAAGACAAGTTCAAATTAAAACTTATAAAATAAATCACATTTATTTTCAAATGTGAAGCTTATAGTAATTGGGATTGTAGGGAATATTATTTATTATTTATCCTACTAATGACATGATAGTTATTATAAATGTTGCAATTAGAAGATTATAATAATTTCTCTGTTTCTCTTTTTTAAAAATAATTCAGAGTATCTTCAAGTTATTTTAGGCTTGATCTAATCTTTACTAAGTTAAGAATGTTAAGGTTAAAACCATTCTAACAAATACACTTCTCGAAATTTGAACTTGTGTTCTTCTTCTTACAAAGTGAAACTGCTTACCATCTCAAACCAATAGCTTGTTGGTCAATTTATGTTTTTATAGGGAAAAAATAATTTCTTTGTTTCTATATTTTTCTAAGTTTTATTATTATAAGATAATTATACTAAACTATAATACTCCTCCAATTCCTAATATAAGACTTAATTATTAAATTGATTTTGGTCCTAAATATAAGACATATTTCTTATATTTATCAGTTTTTTTCTAAATTACCCCTATGAATACCCTATCAACCATAATCAAGTAGAAAAGTGAGGGAAGATATTAAGAAAGATAATTATGGTATTTTAGGAAAAACATATCATATTTTTTATAATTGACTAACCTCCTTAATCTAATCAAATTAGTTAAATAGGTTTTATATTAAGGATTAAAGGATTATTATTTTCAATTTTCAATATAAAAGTTAGTTGACTAATTTGGATAACTTAAAAAAATTAATAAAGTTGGTTATTTGTTATAAATATATATTATTTTTCTTAAAATACTTTTATTAATCATGTGTATTAGTTAAAACTATCATTTGATAAAATATTTAACATGTACAACTATTACAAATACTACCTTGAGGAAAATAGATAAAGACATGACGAAATATGTTGAGATCTTATATTCAAAACTAAATTGAATATCACACTAATTTTTATATTAAATACCAAAAATAGTATACAAGAATATGGATCAAAGTTATGACTATCTCACGGTCCCTTGTCTTTTCCTCTGTGGAGATCCTAGTGCCTCAATGTATGTGACGAACTGAAAATGACCTTTATACCTATGGTTATGACAATAAACAAAAAATAAACCGAACCAACCAATTCACAGTTCAACCGAAAAATCAGTGGTTTGGTTTAGGTATTGAATCGATATCAAACTGGTCACATTGGTAAAAACCAATGATGCATCGGTTTGAAAGATTATATTACTATCGGTTATATTTTTTTATTCAACTCCTAATATCTCATTCACTATATATTTGAATGAATTTAAGTGATAATTTTGGTATTAATGATTATAAATTTTAGTTATTGATGAATCGTAAAGATCAAAATTCCCAATATCGTTATGCTTTGTTATTGTTACAATCAAACTAATATTATATTGTCTTGTATTTTGTTATTAGTGATTGTTAATCTTATTGTATTCTGTTATTTTTAATTAAATTATATTATTTTAATATAACCGGTCTTGTTAATGGCAGTTTCACCCAAGAGGAGGATGAATTAAGTGATATATAAAAATTTAACTTAATAAAATAAATGATCAAATAGAACAGTGGAAATGAGTTAAGAAAGATTTCACCGAAGAAGAATCATACAAGAGTTTATATTGGTTCAATCTCAACCACTTGACCTACGTCCAGTCCTCAAAATGCCTATGAGATTTTCACTAAATCCTCAAGATTAAAGGGGTTCTTGGTGCCTCAGTATAATAACTGAGTCAATCTCAATCACTCTCCTTCACTACCCGCAAGGTTACAACCCCTCAAGAGTTCACATACTTGAGTGACTTGCAAAATTGAGTAAAAGGAATTACAAACTCTCTCACAGAGTATATATAATGAACATTGATGCTTAGGAACAAAAAATAGAGTATTGAATGCGAGAGTTAATTTTTATAAATGGTAACTTTGTGTATTCAATACTCCATTCAATACTCTTTGCGCCATTTATAGTTAGAGACTCGGTTTTCCATTAGACATAAGAGCTTGTAGCTGTTGGAAGATCATTTGCGTATGTTCCGCAATTATAATAGTTATTCGTAATAAATGCTTCTGACATAGTAGGTTAAACCTATAAGATAACTGTTGCGCTTCATAATCTGCAGAGGTTTCTTTACACAAGTATAAGTTTTCTTCTTCAATGGATATGAATAAATAACAGAACAAGTATTGATTCTAGGAAATAATATAGGATATGACAATCATAAGATTAAATGATCAATATTCAAAGAATCAAGAGAATCAATATGATTGATCTCTTGATCGATAAGGTCATCAATCAATAGAAAGAAATAGACTTAACAGATACAGTCATTTATTAAATTTATTATGGATCAGCCATTTATAGGATATGTGATCGATAAATGATGAAACATAACAAAGTAGTCAAGAAAATACTTCTGATTTCTATGCAAGGCTTATACTTTTAAAGTTGTATGTCTTCGTTACTTATCAAAAAAGAATAATTTGACTATTGAAGGCTAAGAAAAGTTTGAAGATAAAATGAAAAAATATATATTTTTTGAAAGAACATTGTGAAGAATTTTTGAAGAGATGAATGGGTGCATTAATCGAATAGATGATTGATAATCACTTGATCAAACAGCTCATCGACAATCTAAGTTATTGTGGAAAAGCATTTTTAAACACAATGATATGAAACTTGATCGATCAAGGTGTGATCGAACAGGTGATCCGAAAACAATTCTAAATGACTTGGACAAATATTGCAGAAGAACATGTTGATGATCAATGAAAAAATAATCGATTACGTGATCAATCATTGTCAATGAAAAGCTAGAATTAGAATAAATCAGAGAAGAGCTTGATTGAATAGATTATGGATTAATAAGATAAGTTTTGTAAAACAATGTTAGAGCAAGTCATCGATACAACATGTGAGTGAAAGAAACTTACCAATTATCTGAGTCATTATTGATTACCCCTTGATCAATAAGGTGATCGATTATCCTTATGTTATTAGTGAGGAAGTTAAATCTTTTTTTTCTGACAGCTTATTGATCATTCAATTATCCATCAGGTGATCGATAATTTCCTAAAAGACCTTATATTCAACCAGTTCTACCAATGATCGAATAGGTGATCGATTAACTTATTTATCTAGCAAGGTTTCTAGCACAGTGAATTATCTAACACGTGACGATAAAACTTAACAGTAGATGGACACATCATGCATTGACAATTATTTGATGCATGTTCAATTAACTAGTGATCGAACACTTGATCGATGAAAATATCAGTTTATGCAAACAAACTTAAATGCTCATTTTGTTATCATCAAAACCTTAAATCTAACAGGTTTGACCCCAATCTGATCAACTAATCCTTAAACTACTATCTCAACTAATTTAGTGTCTGATCCAGTTTTTGGTTTATTGGATTATGGTGTGGATTATAGCTAGTTAGCCTCATCACCATACCCAAGCCCATCATCTGAATAATGGCCGAGCAAGTTCCTCAAGCATCTATCCAAGTCAACTTTGTGATTTTAGGATTTAATCTTATTCAAAACTTGTGAATAATTTTCCCAAGCTAATCAATTTGTTTGCAATTTCAAGATTTAATATCTTTTTTTTTTTAGAAATCTGAATTGTGTTGTTGTTTGGATCAAAAATAAAAAAAGAGGTAATTCTTTTTTTACTAGAAAGAAAAAAGAGGCAAGTTGGTAGGCCAACTCGTCAACATGTCAGTTTATTTCTGATGAGTTTAGGCCGGTGAAATGTCAAATTGTTTCGAGGGAAGTTAGACTGCTCGCAACCTATGGGATGAAAGAAAATTAAAACAAGATAATAAGTACCTAAAGATTTTTGTAACATATATTATTATTTCTTTTAATAGAGTGAACTTTCATCACCAATTTTGCAAGGCCAGGCTCCACCATAGCCCCATATGAGCTACAATATAAACGCCACAGACTCCAGCAATAAACTTCCTAGCTAGCTAATAGCTATATCTCTTCTTCCTCCATCAATCAACTACACCATAGAAAATTCTTCATGGATCTATCGGTTGCAACAAATACACTTAATAACTCAGATCTTTTTTTTCCTTTTCTCTCAGCATCGAGCATTTGATAGCAAATATAGATGGATAGGGTTCGAATTAATATTATAAGCAACTTTCTGGTTGAACTGAACCCTGTGAGGTGCCTCCAGCATTCTGACATGAAGCTTGAGCGATTTGATTGTTGTAAGTGAGCTTCACATCCTCCAATCTAATTCCGCTGCATGGATTCTTGGAACTAC